TTTTTTTAATGGAGTCTCATTCTGTTGCTCAGGCTAGAGTTCAGTGGTGTGATCTTGGCTCACTGCAGCCTCCTCCTCTTGGGTTCAAGTGATTCTCCTCCCTCAGCCTCTTTAGTAGCTGGGATTACAGGCCCCTGCCACCATGCCTGGCTAATTGTTGTATTTTTAGTACAGACCGGGTTTCACCATGCTGGCCAGGCTGGTCTTGAACTCCTGACTTAAGGTGATCCAACTGCCTCGGCCTCCCAAAGTGCTGGGATAAAGGTGTGAGCCACCGTGCCCAGCCCAGGTATTTTTATTTATAATGACTTTTTTGTTACTTTATTATCTAAAAAGGGTGTGTCTTTTCTCTCTTTTTTTTTTTTTGAGACAGGGTCTTGCTGTGTTGTCCAGGCTGGGGTATGTGGCATGATTGTGGCACACTGCAGCCTTGATCTCCTAAGCTTAAGCAATCCTCCCATCCCAGCTTCCTGAGTAGCCAGGACTACAGGTGTAGACTGCCACACCTAGCTAATTTTTTATTTTTTGTAGAGATGGGGGTCTCACTATGTTGCCTAGGGTGGTCTTGGATTTCTGGGCTTAAGCAATCCTCCCGCGTTGGCCTCCCAAAGTGTTAGGATTATAGGCATGAACCACTGTGCCTGACCTCATTCTATTTTTGTATTTATTTTATTACTTATAAAAACAAATGCTTTTTTCATTTCTTCTTCTTTTTTTGTATTTCCCCTTTTCTGAGTCACATAGATAATTTTCTTAAGCCCTTGATACCTCCCAGTTTGAGTTTGCTCTGCCAGCGGTATAAGGCCCTGATATCATATTCACTACAGCAGGGCCATTTAACAGGGACCAGTAAAGACAAAACCATGTATTGCTTGCTGTTGATGTCATTTTCTCTGGGCGGGTCTCTGTGGGCCGCCAAACCGTGAGAATGGCCCTCCCACAGACCCTGTACTTGGAGTAGTAACTGTAGTTAATGCTGGTGGTTATTAACCATGGTGGTTATTAATCATGGTTATTGATTGGGCTAAAATCACCCCTGAAATTCTCTCATAATCTACAATTCACCAGTCTTTAAGAACAATAAATTGGTGCTATGTGGTACCAGGCTTTCGCTCAGCATGTGAAACAGAAGCCCTACAGTCTGGAGATTTATGCTGCACGTTAAGGCTTGCTTGTCCAAAATCTTTTTCAAGACTGCACATAACAGCCTTCATATCCCCCCTGTGTAGGGTCCACACCCAGCACCACTGAGCAAGTTTGTGAGCAGCGTGAGCACAGCCAAGCTGACCCTGGAAGAGGCCTCCAGGCGGCTGAAACTTCTCTGGAGAGTCTCAGTCTCCGAAGATGGCCAGTGCCCCCTTCACTGTGAGCAGGTAGGTGGTGACACATGATTCAGAGGCTCAGTGATGCCCCTGGGGCCTGTGTCTCAGCTTCCTCCATGCCAAGCAGGGGCCCACAGCAGATGTGACCACCATTTGGGGTATGTGTCAGGGAGGAGATGGCCCTGTTTGCTATGGCTTCACCGTGTTCTTACTTGATCCATCCCACAGTCCTGTAGCCCTGACCCGTCTGAGCATATCTTTGTTGAGTAGAATCCTGTCTGCATTCTACACATGAGGAAACCAGGACTCAGGGAGCTGAAGCACTTAGTCAAGGGTAGAGCTTGTTTGAAAGCATAAATATTGGAACCCAGTGTTTATTCTTATAGGCTTTAAGTCCCAGTTTGTCCTCATAGACTAGCCCATTCTTTTCTATTCATCATCCCTTTTGGTTTAGGTGCCTTTCTCTGGCTCTTCTGATTCCTATCGACAGCTTTCATCATCATATTTGAGTGGACCTTGTTCAAAATCTGTTTTAACTACTTAGGAATGACAGGCTCCAAACCAGGAGTCAGGCAGAGTAGCAGCTGTCCTCTGATTTCTGTGTGTGGGATACATGTGGTGTCATGACAGGTGAATGCCCACTCTGGCTACTCAGAGAAACCTCCCTGGAAGAAGGGACATGCAGGTTAAGGAAGAGTTAGAACTCTCTGCTTGGTAGCGTGATAGATATTTCCCCCCTTTGTTTATCTGACCTGTCCGTTCTTGCCAAAGGCCAGCAGGAAGGCAAAAGGGAAATTTACATTTTTTTGTCATTATCTCATTTAGTTAAACCCCTTTTGACAGCTCTCAGGTCTCTCAAACATGACCAGGAAGTAGCTGGGGGGCAGCTCTCTCTGCTCTGAAGGTTCTAATGAGCCCGTCCTAAGATTTTCCTTTTGGGATCTTGGGGACAAAGTTTGGATACACTAAGCTCAGGAAAGTTAATAACTGTTCATTCCACAGAAAAATCTTTTTTTCCGCCCATGTTTAGCTGGTGGCAGTATCAGGTGGGAAACAGTGTATGAGGGAGGAAGGCTGAGACTCACTGGGGTCCAGTCCCACATTGGTCTTTCCCTTCTTCTAATCCACCAAGTCCTGTTCCGTCTTAGGCTTAGGTGACACAGATGGCCTGACTGCCTGGAGTGTCCCATGTCCTGCTTCTGGCTGGCTCCTTCTCACCTTTCAAATCTTAGCTTAAATATTACCTCAGAGTCAGAGAGGGCTCCCTGAGTCCTTCAACATAGAGTCCTCTTCTGTTTCATCGTAGCCTTTCAACCAGTTGTAATTGTATATTTGTTTAATGTCTGTCTTCCTCTATTTTCCTTCAGAGGACAGTGTCTATTTTATTTATAGTTTTTGAATGAACCAGTGATTTTTTTCTATACACCCAAAGTAGTACCTGCCTCATGATTTTAACATAAACATGTCTGAACTAAACAGTTGACACTTAATGCAATGTTTTTGTCCTTAGCACATTGTAGTAACTGTTAAATAGACAGAATACAGCTCATACACATATATAAAAAATATATTATATATACACACACACATACACAAATTATAGCCACATTGATTCTTCCCTACTTGCAAATCGTTCCAAGAGGGGTTGGTGCTCCTGAGTACATCTTTCCTTCCAAAGGTTTCTCGAGTAATTGATTATGCTCACTTTGATGTTATGGAATTGTGGTGCCAGAAAAAGGACCTTTGAGATGCTCCAGTGTGGTTGCTGGGGTACAGACCCCCTATGTGGTGTTAAATTGCCTCTAGCCACTTTTCTGTCACTGCTGTGTTTCATACCATGCCTTTGCTTGGTGTGAAATGTGTGTAATGCTGATTTCCATTTCCAAGTTTTCACCAGCAACCCGGGGGCTTTTGAACTACCTGGTTTTCTCTTGAGTGTTATTAATTGCCTTTTACATTTAGTATACCATCCCCTGCAGTCTGGACTGCTCTGGAAAGTGTGTGTCATGTGCATCAGTTGTGTGGAGGGATACAAATGTACACACATACTTGTTTATAATAATTTTTTTAAATGGAGGATAAACAGTAACAAACCAGGCTACATATAGTAGTGGGAGGGGAGAGATTAGAGTAACAGATAGAAGGTAGATTTCTCTGAATAGACCGTTTTGTAGATTTGACTTTGCAACTATATAAATGCATTACATAATTATAAAAAAATCAAAATGAGAAAACAATTTCTAAAAATTCTTGGCAAGATGAAACAAACCTTACTGTACATGGCAACGTAGGCATAACAACACAAAAAGGAAGCGTTTCAATGACTAACGCATAGTACTTTGACCACAGATTTCTAGTAGAAATATTCTAAGGGCAAGAAGAAAATTTAAACTCCTGTTAATGGTTATATTGTTAGTAATAATATTGATATTGATATTCTGAATTATTATGTTTCTATTATAAGATAAAACAAATAACTGTTAATTTTATTGGGAACTGATTTTTTACTGTAAGGAAAAAGAGATATGAAATCAAAGAAATAACCCTGTAATCCTAAATTTAAATAGCACATATCATTATGAACTTGTGATGTATTATCATCCATTAAAAGAATTTTATGAACTTTCTCAGCATACAAGGCTCCAGAAACAATGTCTGTTCTACCACCAGTGAGCGCCCTTGATGCCCAAATTATGGTTTCTAGATACCTTTGCCCACTAAAGGGAACTAGGGTTCCTTGGAGAAATGGCTTGCTGCTAGGTCTGGGGCAGGAGATATATAGTATGAGCCTAGAACATATTTCATCCTAGTAAGAAAGGATCCAGCATGGGGAAAGAGGGAGAGAACCCCATGGATTTACAGTGGTTCCCATAAGTGTGGGCCCTGGACCTGCAGCATCTGCATCACCTGGAAACTTGTCAAAAATTCACCTTCTCAGGCCTCACACCAAACCTACTGAATCAGTAACTCTGAGAGTGCGCCCCAGCAGTCTGATTTTATAGCCCTCTAGATAGGTTTGAGAACCACTGGATTTAAAGAAACTCAAGAGATAATCAAATGCAAAACATGGATCTTGTTTGCATCCTGAATTGAACCAATTGTTTAGAAAAAGAAAATTATGAAGCAATCAGGGAAATGTGTTCACTGACTGGATGTGGTGATACTAAGGAATTACTGCCTTTTTTTAAAGGTGTCATAATGATACCGTGTTGGGTTTTTTTTTTGTTGTTTTTTTTTTAAACAATCTTTTTGTGGCCGGGGTGGTGGCTCATGCCTGTAATCCCAGCACTTTCAGAGGCCAAGATGGGAGGATCACCTGAGGCCAGAAGTTCTAGAGCAGCCTGAGCAACATAGTAAGATGCTGTTTAAAACAAACAAACAAACAAACAAAAAACAAATCTTCTAGAGAGATATAGTAAAATACTTTATAGATGATACGATTGGCTTCTAGGGTTGGTTCCAGAATCGTCTTGGGGAGAGGATGGACAGGAATGTAGTAGAGATAAGTATGGCCATGAATTGATCATTGCTGAAGCTGGATGGGCACTTGGGCAATCATTATTCACTTCTTTCTGCTTTTGTAAATGTTTGAAATTTTTTCACCATAAAAAGAAAACAAGCAAAAATTTCTGTCCCCGAAGTCCGGCGGAACACTGACGAGGAAGCCTGAGGCCTCCGGGGAGGGAGTGGCTTCAGCGCTGCAGCTCTGTGGCCCTCGGGAAGGGTGCTCTGGTGACCTCCTGCAGCACCGGGCATGCTGCTCACACCCAGCGTCTCATCTGATTCCTTGCAGAAAGCTTGAGGGAGTTAGCTGTGATTCTTCCCTTTTTCCAGAGGTAGGAATGGAAACTCCCAAGAGGTTAAGTGACTTGCTTCAGCATCTTATAGTTGGGAGTGGTGGAGTTGTACTTTGAGCCCCTGCTGTTGCTACCATGGAATATTCATCCTATAAAAATGAATATTTGAATCCAGGGGAACAACAGACATGTAAACAATTAAAATTCCCTGTTTTAAGTACTGGATAGAATATATACAGGGTGTTAGGAGAGCACCAGTGAAAATTAACCCACCATGAGTGGGTAAATGGTGTCACAGCACCTACTCTGCACCAGACACTGGTGGTTAGAGGGAGGAAATGAGCATGTAGTCAGTACAGGAAGCAAACAAGTAAAGGACCAGTTACTCCAGTGTGCCTTGGGCGGTGATGGGGAGACACTGAGCCCCGGCACACCCAGAGGAGCAGTAGCCAGCCTAAAAGAAGTACCAGGTCAACCTCCTGGAAGAGGCGAAACCTGAGCTGACTTTAGAACAAGGAATGGGTCAACCACGTCGAGTTTGAAATGATCCTTCCCGCTGTCTTCCATTATCTCATTTGAGTCTCACTCTACTGCAATGTGATAGCTGGATCGGGGATGATTATTCCAATTTTACAGATGTGGGACTAAGGCGTTGACTGTAGAGAGACGTTGTCCTGGAATGTGTGGCCTCTGGAGCCATGACCAGAAAATCTTTGTGGGCTCTTAGCCCCAAGGAGAAGAATCAAAGCAAACCTAATGTTTAAAATTAGGATCCGTTTGGGAAGAACTGTCGAAGTCCTTGTACCTGACATGACTGGTTAATCTTAAAAGTAGGTTAAGTCAGGGAATCAAAAAATGATACGTACCTTAAACATTTTAGTTTAACTTAAAACAGATAAATGTACATTCATTTGCTATTCTTTTGATGTAGGGCCAGGGCCTTTTCTTTTGAATATGGGTCTGCTGATTGGAGTTTCACATCTTCTTTCTTTCATAAACTGCATCCATAATGTATGTCTGTCACTTCCAATTTCTGTTTCTTTAAGATGAAGAGAAAACTTAGACACTTGCAAAGCAATTTGAATATAGAATTCTTCTAGACTGTGTTCCTCCCACATCTTTTATAGTTGTCTCACCCACACCTAATTTGCCAGAAATGTGTTTTTTAGTGACTTGCTTTTATCAAGTCTTTCCTGAAGCATATGTTAGTTTTCATACAACCAGTTCGCTCTTTTAATACACACATTTCATGGGCTTACTTAATATTTAATTAAATTATGCAATTTGATTACAAGTACAGCTACCATAAACAAGTTTGGGAACAAACTAAAGTGACTCTTCATGAGCTGACAACTCACCATCTCTCCTGTTGGAAGCAGAAGTGTTTCGACGTAGCAGAGAGCGGCCTGTGCCAGGGTGCTTTCCTGACAGAAAGGGAGTGTCCTTCCTCCTGTGAGCTGGTTTGGTGGAGACCGGCTGAGAGGGCTCCACCGTGCGTATATTTCACCTCGGAGCACTGGGGACTCTGGTTTTGCCACCCATCCAGAGTTTACTCTGAAAAACCAGAAGAGTTTCTTCTAGTGGAGCATACTTTCCTCATAATACTTTTATATGATATTTTGAAGATTTAAACATTAAAAAAATTTTTAAGTCAGCATTATGTATAGTTTTTGAAAAAAAAAAACACTCAATTTGAAATCATATCTCATGGAGAGAATTGCTGTTAACATTTTGATGACATCTCAATATACACATCTATGAATGTGGGCGTTTATGTTCAGTTTTGTGGAACAGGAATGCCTTGTATACAGGGCGTTTTGTTCTGGGCTCTTTTGTCACTAACTGTGATCATTTTTTGATATCAATGTATAGAGCTCTACAACATTGTTTTTAATAGTTGTAAAACTATTGTATTATATGTAAGTACCATAATTTATCCAGATCTGTACTGAAATGAAGTTATTTTTTCCTACCATGAACAATGCTGAGACGAACATCCTTGTACATAGGCATCTTCTTGTGCTTATGTTATTCCTTGGGGGAAATGCCAACGTGTAGAATTGCTGGGGCAAAAAGTTAAGCGCATCTCAGTTTGGCAGATCTTGCCAGGGCGTTCTCGCTGGGCCATGCCATCCCGCACTTCCACCAGAGGCCACGAGGTGCTTTCCCTTTACCCTCAATGGATTTTGTCCGATTTTGCCTTTTCCCGGTTGTCAGGAAAAGGCTTCTAGTTTCCATTCAAATATTTTTGCTAGTGAGGTTGAGCATCCTTTTATATGGCTTTGTAATTTTTCCTATGTAACATGACGTTTTATGTTCTTTGTTCATTTTTCTAATTTCTCTTCTCTTTAGATTGGAGAAATGAAGGCAGAGGTCACCAAACTACATAAAAAATTGTTTGAACAAGAAAAGAAGTTGCAAAACACCATGAAGCTTTTGCAGCTGAGCAAGCGCCAGGAAAAAGTCATCTTTGATCAGTGTGAGTGAGTGTGCGGGTGGCCGCTGTGCCTGACCACTTCCTGCCTCCAAGGGCTCCCAGTGCTGCGCTGGATTACCCACTTTGGAGCCCAGATTGTAATCATGCCTCCTATCTGTGGGCTTCTTTTCATCCTCCATCCTTTCTGACTCACATAGACAAATGTATTCACTTAACACACCTTTGTAGAGCAGCCCCTTGGTGTCAGGGACTGTCATCTCACTGGGAGACAGTCGTGTGGCATGTCAGTGATGGGAACATGCAGAGCACTGGGGTGGGAGTTGGGTGGGCGTCACTCCGTCCTGGGGAGGTGGGCATCTTAGACAAAGTAACCCCTGCGCTGAGTGTGAAATGAGAGTAGGTGTTGTCACATGGAGCGGGGGGTGGCAGTCCCACAGGGAAGAGCATGGACAGAGGCACAAAGGCAGGAAATAAGGTTTCGTATGTGAGAAACCAAAACCAGTTCCTGTGGGGTAAAGGCTGCAGTGAATTGAGGCAGGAGGGATTGGGAGTCAGGGAGTACTTCATGAAAGACTGAAGGTGGCAGGCTCAGGGCAGAGGATTGGCCTGTCAAATCTGTGTGCAAGAATGGCTCGCTGGTGGCTGCTCCACCAGTGAGGCAGAGGCCGACTCATTAGTCAGACAGGAAAGGTGGCTACGATGCTGGGGATCCAGAGGAGGGCATGGATTTGAGAAATTCTTCTCAAGGCAGATGCCAAGACTCAGGGTTGGCGAGGTGAAGTAACTTTTTTAAGGTCAGTCCCAGTTCTGATCTAGCCACTTTGGAGATTGTGTGGGAGCAGCTCTGTTTCCTGGTTTAAACCCTCAGCACTCCTTCCTGCTGCATTTAGAGGAGCAGGCGGTAGCTGAGTTTTCATTAGTGCCTGTTGGCAACATGGCCCTGGCCGAGCCTGTGCTGTCTGTGTGTCAATTTCCCTGTCTTAGGAGAACTGCTGACTGCAGCACTTTCTCTCTGGATGTGCCAGCCTGCCTTGTGCGGCTCTTCTATCAAAGTCCAACGTTTCTGGGGCATTTCTGAGAAGCACAGCACAGAGATTATTGCCAAGTAGGAGTTCTCCTTAGCCACCCCTGGGAACCTTCTGAAAATAGACTCTGTGAGACTGGCAGTGTTTGAACTGCAAAAGAGAGGGGCTCAGCCACTGAGCGGGCACTGAGTTCCTGTTCTTTGCCCCTTACACCAGGCCCTGGGGACAGAGATGAATGAGACAGTCTTTGCCAGTGAGGGTTCCAGGCTTAATGAGGGAGACACACAGCTTAGCTGCAGGACAATGTACTGAGTGCATCCTGGGAGGCCTGAGAGGTGGTTCAAGACTGACTGGGTCTTGAGGAATGACTAGGAGTTCGTCAGACGGTGAAGGGGCAGGAATAGGATTCTGGCAGATGGCCCTGTGGCCTTGCTGCTGTGCTCCCAGGGGTGAGAGAGAACTGAGCACTCAGGGACATGCTTAGGACGTGCAAAGGATTTTCCTGTGAGAGATGAGTGAGAGGGAGAAGCAGGAAACATGTTGCAAGGAGCCTTGTGGACAGGACTCCAGGACGAGCAGCAGGGACCCGCGGGGTCCATGTGTGTGTTACAAGATCCCATGACTGAGCTTGGAGGGGCCAGGAGGCCGGGAAGACCTCTTTGGTGGCTGCAACAGACCCCCAGGTGGGCAGTGGGTCCAGACTGTGGGGGAGGGGATGGTTTTGAAAGATTGTAAGGAGGTCAGCCTGGCAGAGTGGTGGATGTCTGTGGGGTTCTGGTTGAGGGTTTTGTGTCACTCGTAGAGAAAACGAGCACAGAGGGGAACCTGGAGAGAGACAGGGGCAGCTGTGGTCATGTTAAGGCATCTGTGGAATATTTGGGTTAGACTCTTGGAGCAGCGGGCGGGGGGAAGCGATGCTCTGCACAGGTCTAGGAAAAGTCAGAACTCTGCACTGGCATCTCTCCTCCTCAGCAGCCTGTGACCTGAACAGTCACAGGGCAGGTAGCTAACCCTATTGACAGGTGAGGAAATTGCAGAAGTAGGTTTGGATGGGTTGTGTGCTGTGGTCGGTCAAAAGGACAGAACTAGAACCCAGGTCCCCTGTGTCCTAGGTCAGAGATCATGGAATTATTGATTGAGCACAGTTCAGATCTCCACTCTCTTATGTGACCTGCATTAGACTAAAACCCTAAGCGTTAGATTCCTCATCTCTAACTGGAGACATGAATTCCAAAGAACTCAGACTAACTAGTGGGGCCGGGTTCAATAGCAACTTTATAAAAAGTACCCCAGTTTTCTCATCTGTAAAATAAGGATGATAACGCTACCTAAACTGTATTGTACTTAGCACAGTCTCGGGGGCAGAGGAGATGCTCAGCCAGTCCCTCCTCTTTCTTTCCATTAGGCCAGACCAATTCCTATGCATGGAGGTGGCAAATCATTCATAGTAAGAAGAGCTGCAAATGTCTCATAGCACTTCCCCTCCTGAGCTGGTGTTGCCTGTCTCCATATCTCCTAGGCCTGGCACAGAGCAGGCTCCACCAGAGCAGGGTGAGGGGCTTGCCCCAGGCAGCATAGCTGGTGGCTGGCCCGGGCCTGTAGCTCCTCCTGTGCCAGGCTCTGCAGCTCATCCCAAGGAGCCAGGTCCTGGGAAATTCTCCAAGCCCCGCGGACTTCACAGACCTGCTCTGTGAAGGGGACTAGGTGAAAGTTGGCATAGCACCTCCTCTTCCTCCATCCCCTCATGGTGATGGGGAAGGGCAAATGCCAGGGCTGACTGCTACCTGGTCAAACTGACACCTTACCTTCTCAGAGTCTACAGGGGAAAGTAAGGAAAGGGCATCCCAGTGGGACCCTAAGAGTCCTGATGCCCTGGGGCCTCTCACTGGCCATGTGACCTGGAACCAGGTGCCTCAGTTCCAAGCCTCAGGTCCTCATTTGCAAAGCGAGGACAATAGTTCTGCCCCATAGGGTGGGGGAGTATTCAGTGAGGCCACAGTTGGAACCACCTGTCACCAGGTCAACACTGTTCAGCTCAGGTCGGTACCTTCTTCCCAGCACTCTGTTGAGGTGGGAAGAACCGTGGACTGAGTTGGGTAGACCCTCGTGTGAGTCCCATCTCTGTGCTGGGGCCAGTCTAGATTTGGGACGAGTCCTTTGTTGCTGTGTTCCTCGGTCTTCTCCTTGCAGCAGGGATTTCTGTGCTTTGGAATGCGGCAGTGCTGTTGAGGTGCAGGGGTCCTCTCAAAGCTTGAGCCAGGTGATCCTTAGTTCTTCTGCCAGGAGCTCTGTTCTCTAGGGACATGGAGTGCTCTTTCACACTCATCTTTAACCTCCACAGCTGTGATACTTCATCTTTTCTGGGTCTCAGGCCCCTTGGTGAATCTGGAGAAAGCTGTGGTCTCTCTGTGGAAAAATGCAGACATCCAGATACATGCCCTCATTTGCACACAGTGTCGGAGGATTTAGGACTAACCCCCCAAACATATCCAGCGCCCCATGTCAAGAACTTCGCCCTGCAGCAGGAGGTCAGGTTGGGAGTAGAGGGGCAGTGGCCACCTCTGAAAGTCGTTTTGCTTGGCTAAAAACAAAGTCCACACCAGTGTCACAGATTGCAAATAAACTCCATTACCTCCAGATGGAAATTTTCGTGTGGTAAGAAATCGATATTTTCTCAAGGCCACCACGCAACACCTATTCTGAAGAAGCCACTGGGGAGCTGGGCTGTGTGTGCTGGGCGTTGAGTCTGTTACAGCCTCTGGCACTGTTGGCTAAAGGTGCGGCTCCAGAAGCCTTTGGGGTTTCCAGCATGGGGAGTAAGCTGATCTCCTTACCCTCACCGAGCCCTGTTGAGAACAGATTCCCTGTCAGGCTCAACTCTGATCAAGAGGGGCATTCTTGCCACTGCTGGAGTTTGTGTTGGACAAGAAAAAGTCTGAAGGAAGAGCCACCTTTCCAGTTGCACCTGAAAGCCAGGGCTCGCCCGCCCCTCCTGGGAATTTGGATACACAGGGCATCTGTCTAGTACGGTGCTCCGGGCGTCAGCGTCGGCAGGGACCTCTGAAACCATCCCACCCAACCAACTCCTGTCCAGGCAGAATGTGACTTGCCTGGGGAACCAGGCTGGGCTATTCCACCAGCTGAAGGGCAGGCAGAGGAGAAGCAGCATGCCTGCGGCATTTTCTTCCAGGCTATTTGGAGCTGGCTCTAAGAGCTGCTGGGTAAAAACCTGGATTTGTAGAACTTAGACCCTCCTATGTGGGTCTGCCTGATCAGGGCACAGTCCCTTCCCACAGCTGCTTCCCACAGGGCCTAGGAAACTCAAGAGTGCTGGGCAGGCCCAGGCCTCTACCCTCCCAGCGCCATTGCCCTCCCTGGCCCACAGAGGTGAGCCTGAGGGATACCTGGACAGCCGGGTGACCGTGCTGAGCTGTGGTGTCTTCTGTGAACCGGCATAGCATGCTCTAGTCTCTGCATCGCTGTCAGGTGGTGGCTTAGCGGGGCCTCAAAGAGGTGTTGTTGATGCATTATTTGGCTCTGGGGTGTGTGATGGGTCAGGTGGGTCCTTGGTACCTCCCTCTGGTCTGGATGCTTCAGACCTCATGTTGTCCACGTGTCTGAGCCCTTTGGGGTGGGGCTTATCCTCCCTGCACTTGGCTTTCACACGGCTCTCCTGGACATGTATGCCCCTAATCATTGCATTCTTTGCTCTCTCCTCAGTGGTCGTAACCCACAAAATCCTTCGGAAGGCCAGAGGAAACCTGGAGGTATGCCCTTTGAGTCTTCACTGTAGGCCAGTGGAAGGTTGGGAGGGGTGCAGGGCCAGAAAGGACCTCTTGAAAAATGAAGGTGCAGGGGGAACCAGGGGACATGTCCTCCTCAGAGAGTTGTGTATTTCTGCCAGCAGTGCATGAAAAGTTGTGTTTTATCATGCCCTGTCACCAGTGGGGGTTCTAAGTTTTAAATTTGTATGCTATTTTTACCAGTAAGAAATTCAGCAAACAATGCTTGGTACATAGTAGGCATTTGATGAATATTTCTTGAATGAATGCAGTATGATCTCATCGTCATTTTATTCGGTAAATATTTACTGACTAAACTATGTCTTTGAAAGCACTTTGAGAATAACAGTCTTGCGTTCACCTCTGTCAGGGGTCTTACTTCAGAAACCTCCACTGGACTTAAAATTCTCCTTTTTTTTCTTCCTTTTCCTAGCTTAGGCCCGGGGGAGCCCATCCAGGAACATGCAGTCCCAGCAGACCAGGCTCCTGAGAAGAACTTGCAGCCAATAAAGCTTGTGCTTCCCCACTGAGCTCACGCTGTCTCTTTGTTCCAAGTGTGGTTCCTATTTATTGAGGAAGAAAGAGCTGTCTGGCCAAAGGAAATCTTTTTTTTTCCCTTCATGTTTTCTCTCTGAAAGTTGGCTTGAGAGTTGTTGTCAGAAAGGTGCGGGTGCTCCACAAACGGGTGGTAAAAAGGCCTCGAGCTCTTGGATGTCGCATTTCACATCTGGGGCAGGCACCGGAACTGAGGCTGTGCGCCTTGGTGGGCTTCACGTCTTCCCCTGGATTTGCTTAGTACTCAGCCAGTGCCGCAGTTTGAAGATTCTCATTAAATGATTCATTTCATTTCACCTTGACGATTCTGTTGTTTTGTGTGGAGCCTCAAAGCCCAGGTCCCAAAATCCCAAGTGGGACAGGCCAGGGTTCCACGAGTCGCGTGGCTCACTGCTGAGCTCGCTCAGGTGTCCAGAGAAGAGCACCTCCGTGCAGCGTGGCTGTGGGCACTGGTGTGTGCTCAGCATCTCACAGTCTGCTGGACAGCAGCCCTTGCAGTGGTGCCATTCCCGATTTAGCAAAGAGCAAAGTGAGGCCCAGAGCTGGGATGTGGCATTTGCATTGTCCCCGTGATGACAGGGGTGTGTCATCAGCCATCCACATCGCTGCCTCTGACCAAGATGCCCCCAGCCAAAACACTTTAGCGGCTTCCCACTACCCTCTGATCCAAGCCCGAGCCCCTAACAAGGTTTACAAGCCTTGCTGGCACCTCTGGCTCCTTGCCCATCTCGCCTCCTCCCACTCCACTCTGTGTTCCGGGCAAACCGAACAGTGTTCTCCCCAGCCTAACCCAGGCTGCGCCCTCTCGGACATGCTCCTCTCACCCTTTCTTTTTCTAGTTACCTTTGAATGGTCCTTCAGAAGTATTTTTTCTGCCCTTGGGGAAGCCTCTCCTGACCCGATACTAGGTGAGATACCCCACCTCTGCTCCCGCAGCCCCTACACCACTGTGCGAATCCTCTGAGTCCTTGGAGAGCAGAGGCTTGTGTTGACCACGGAATTGCCAGCACCTGGCCTGGCACCCAGCTCCCCAGATGCGATGGTGAGGGGAGGAGACTGGATTGCACTGACTGGAAGCGCAGGGTGCTGCAGCCTCGGCTGGGAGTCCGGAGAGTGGCCTTATGCCACTTTGCCTGTCTTCCCATCCATTAAGAGAGGGGTGGGGCAGGTGGGTAGTGAGGACCCTTTCTGCTTGGGTTCCTGCCATCTGTGCTCTTCTGAGAAATATTTGCACAGATATACCTTGGTTGAATACGTACCAGTGTGTGAAAACTCAGATTGAGCCATAATATCACTGGAGTGCCTTTTGCAAGCAGTCGCAACAGTTGACTTCCTAAATGGAAGCTGAGTGGGCCGAGGCACCGGGTCGGCGTGGCGCTGTGGAGCCGGAGGCCTGGTTCCAGTCCCGAGGCTCGCGCTTCTGTAAGTGAGAGTTACTCTTGCCCAGTACTGTTACAGAGTTGGGAGCCTCAAATTTTGGAAGCAGCTGCACAAGACCGTTTCCACAAATGGGTGACTCTTCTTCAGTGTCTCAGTGGCTGGTCTTAAGCAAGTTTAAAGTACTGTTTTAAGTTCTGTGGCTATGTTGTGCCAAACCCCTATTAACCTCAGTAGGGAAGGCTCAGGTTCAAGAGGCCTGAGAAGAGACCCACAGAGCCAACAAACGGGATGTGGGCTTTATTAGAGGCTTTCATACAGGGAACAGTCCAGAGGCGGCAGACTGGACAGGGGAACTGCTTTTCATACAGAAACAGATGGTTCAGTGGCAGCGGCTGAACAACACAACCCACAGCCCCAGGTGGGGCAGGAAAACCGCCACCACTTATAAACAGCATGCAGTTTATATAGCATTTTTCACTTAACCTTCCCCCAGGGACCTCTGCCTGGGAACCTTTTAACCCAAAACTCAGGGCCTCAGTCCCCTGTACAGCCCGCATCCCATGAGATGGGCTGGGGGGCTCAGATATTCCTCGAAAACAAGGAACAAATCTCCAGGTTGGCTGCTCCTCGATTCTCTAACTTGGAACAACATTAAGATGCGTGTGCCATACAGGGTCGTTCTAAGGGTATGCTTAAGCTATTGCTATCAGGGCGTTTACCTCCAGGCAGATGTGCACAAATGTAAGCATGTGTGGTTGCGGGGGCAGTGGGGAAGAGGCGAGTAGGTTGTACAGTGTAGTAGATATAGCTCAGGCAAGGCCTGGAAGTCAGACCTGGGCTCAGATGTCCCCACAGGGGAAGAGTCCTACCTTGCCTGGCACATGGTCAGTGCACAGCCCATGGGAGCTGAACTTGGTCATTGGCAAGGGCTTGAGGTGGAGGGATTGGAGGAGAGATCCACATTGGATTCTGGTACGTCCCGGGCCTGTCTGGTTGGTGAAGCCAGGCATACGTGGGAGCAGGACCTGCAGAGGAGGGGCTCCAGGAGTCCAGCTGGCCATTTGCTTCAGGTCACCCACAGCTTTTCAGGAACACAATAATCTAAAAGTAAGTGCATTTTTATCCCCCAGTTTAGAGTCAGGTAAAATACTTTCAGCCTTGGGCTAGTGAAGGCCCTCCCTCTTCTGGGAGGTGGAGGAGCAGCCTGGTTTGTTTGGGCTGGATTAATGCCAAGAACAAACTGTAAATAAGACAATTTGGACCTTGGAAAAAGCTCCATTGTCCCTGGTGAGTTAATTTTACCAGCAGCTGAATTCAGGAGGCTTTGAAGCAGTAATCAGAAAATGCGTCAATTTCCCGTCAGTGAAATTAATCACCACGTGTGCTGGAGGAGCTGCACCTGAGAGAAACAGCTGCAGGGACTAAATATATAGTGAGAGAAGGATTGGGAGACAGGCCCAGGGCCCCCTGCTTGCCCTACCTTGGAAATGGTGCTTTGATCTCACTTCCCAGGCCCACCTCCCCACCTCCCTATCAGGGTCCTGGAGAGTAAAATCCTCGCCCCTCTGACCGGCGCTCACCTGGATGGCAGTAGCCACGCTGTGCATTTCAGTAATCTGCACCACCTCACCCATTTTACAAATGAGAAGACCAGATGTAGCCAGAATTTGAACCTGAGTCTGTTAAAACCTGATGTCCCTTGGATTATCAGTATTCCCCCTAAATGCCATCTCTTCGAAAAACTGCAGCATTTCCCTGTTACAAATCAACATTTTCTCACTCTACCCTTTCCAACAAAACGTCTCTGGATGACCAGAGCAGGGTCCAGAGACCCACAATTGAATTCCTCAACACAGCAGCCCTGAGAACTGCTTGTAAATGGGTGGTGGAAGGGAGAAAGAGTGATCTTGTTAATAAGTTCTCGGCATTGTGGAAGCCGAGAAACCTGCCTGGGGGATCTGGCCTTGCCAAATTGCCTCTTCAATCTTGGCCATATTTTAGGGCTAACTCAAAAATGCAATTATCAAAATTACTCATCCCATCTCCTGAGAAGCCCAGGACTGTGCCTCAGGGGCTAGACCTGTTTACCTCTTGCCACAGATGGGCGCCAGGTGGGGTGGGGGTGAGCAGATCCAGAGAACCAGGCTCCCCAGGTGGGGCCTTCTACTGGAACCAAGCCTCAGTTTCCTTATTCGCAAACATTATGAGATGTAGAAAGATATACAATGGCTAACTGTGAGGCCCAGACATGGCCAAATTGCTGGGGTTCATCCGTTCACCTCAGTGAAGGATCTGCCTCTGGCCAGCAGCACATGCTAGAGACATCCTTGCACCTCCTTCTTCCTCACCCTCCATATCCCATCCATGATCAGGGCCACTCCACTTGTATCTCCCAAGGCCATCGGTTCATTCATCTCCACTGCCACCTCAGTCCAAGTGACCATCAGCTCTCCCCTGGACAGCTTACTGTAATAGCTTTTCAGTTGGCCTCCCACATCCAACCCCCGCCAAATGTCCACCATACCACAGCTAGAGTGATTCTTTAAAAGGCAAAGCAAATCATATTATCCCCCTTGTTTAAAATATGGGATGCCTCTCACCACACCTAGTGTGGTCAGCAAGCCCTCAGTTCCCTGAGCCCCCCTGTCCGCCCTCTGGGCTCCCTGTGCTCCAGTCTCTTAGGGCTTTCGTCTCTGTCCACAGGACCTTTGCACATGCTGCCCCCTGCCTAGCATGCTCTCACCCTGGCTTCTCCTGCTAGTCAGAGATGGCTTCTGGATCAGGAGCCGCTATTCTGCATGGTCAGAGCGTGATTATCCCCCTTCACTGGCACTTGGCCGCTGTGTGACTTTGGGTTCTTCCTCTCCCTGTCATTGACCTGAAGCTCCGTGAAAACACGGACCTCATGTGGTTTGCTCACCACACCAGCCCCGCTGCCTGGGACAGGGCCAGCAAATATATTCACTCAGCAAACATTGCCAGAGCTTCTCCCACCTTCTTCTGGAGGAACTCTGGAGGAACTTGGTTGGGAGAAGAGACAAGTAATATAGTGAATAGGGAACATTTGCTTAGACCTGGGGTCCTGGGATCCTGGGGTCCTCGGAGCCTGGCTGTCTTTGGAACATCGTCATAGGCAGTCATCATAACAGCCCTGGGTGGGAGGGACTGCTTTTTTCATATGAAGGACTGGGGCACGGAGTGACCCCCCCAAGATCACAAGGCTTCAGATAGAGGCCCACGGGCTGCAGAGCCCAGCTCCCTGCCGCTGCGTGCGAATGGCCAGTTCAGTATGGCCAGTGCCCAGGGGGTTGGCCAGGCTGGAGTGCAGCCCACACTGGCAGCGTCTGCTTCCACTTGCAGCCCACTCAGGCGGTTCCTGCCAGTGATCCAAAGCCCAGCCCTGCTCCTGGTGAGGCCCAGAGAGGCCTCATCCTTGCTGGGAGGTAGGCAGTTGGAGTTGCTTCTGACTCATCCTTTTAGACCTCTTTGTCCTCAGGGTTGCCCAGGTCCCCTCTTTTCCTGTTGACCCCATTCCCTGGGAAGCCGCCGGCCCTGCCTGACTGGAGAGGGCAGCACTGGGCAGGGCTCACCCCTCCAACTGGATCACAATGGGACTAAGTGCACGGTGGTTGCCAAGCGCCCTCCCCCACGCGCCTCTCTCAAATGCAAAAGCACGTCCTTGTTAACAGGCATTCACAGGAGAGCTTAATTACATGTTTTCAGGTCTAAAACGATCCTCTGTTTGTGTTAATGCCACTTTCTCATTCCAAACAGGACAGCATGTGGTCCCAGCTCGTGTGTGACACTGGCCGATGGTATGGGCAGACACAGGGAAGAAAGAGAACGAGGTCGCCCTGGCCTCGCCCTCCTCTTTAGCCAAAACGATGGTGGGGTCGGGGGCCACAGACAGAGAGTG